TTCTTTCTGGTTGACAGCACATGGTAGTCAGTGTTTGACCATCATTTGGAGCAGATAATGAGATTCAAAGACTTTTATCAGCTGATTGAAACCCAACAATAGAATTCTTTCTGGCTGACAGCACATGGTAGTCAGTGTTTGACCATCATTTGGAGCAGATAATGAGATTCAAAGATGTCTCGAGTTGACAAACATTAAATTTGAGAGCTTGAAATAAACTGAGTGAAAGTTTATTTTTATTGTCCAAACGTTGGTGACTTTTTGGCCCCCCTCTGTTCAATGGGGTGAAAATAAATACAAAAGCACCAAGATACTTCTTGATATTTTTTTAATTCAGCTTATTGTTGTCACAACAATTCCACTTCAAGCAAGGAAGACACTAATATTACACACATGATTCAAGTTGTTAAAACGAGGGAAGGGTTAGATTCTAATCCTCGTCCCAATCTTGGTTGGTCTTTGGCTTGGGGCCACCAGCCTGCTTGGCCATAATAATCTGAAAAGGAGCAGAAATATTTAATATTATTAGCCTCATACTGAAACCTTTGTGCGTGACAAGCGAAGCATATCTGGGAAGTGGGTTATTCCACAGACATTGACTGGAACACATTGGTATACTACACAATGTCAAGGCTAACCCTAAGCAACAGGGAACTTGAAAGTAGAGTGTTGTCTGTCAATTTCATATATTATAGTACATTCAACAAAATTACTCAACTCTGATTGGTCGAGAGGAGTACAATAATTGTACTCCAAAGGAGTACTGAATTAAGTCGCTATGGCAACACGGCCAAAACAATGTCAAAACAATTATTTTCTATCATTTTGTACTTAAAAAACATATAAATAAAATTTTAAAGCTGTAAGAACAGACTAATCTTTTTTATGTATTTCAGTTGCGCGATGGACTGAAAATCAGCCGTCAAATAGACAAAGATGAATGGCGTCGCTTAGTATTTTTTTACTGAAATTTTGTTGAGTGAACTATAAACAAAAAATCTCGTAAGGCTCATGCAATTACAAGAACTTTCAAAACATTACTCTTGTCTGTTAATTTCCAAATTGTACTCCAGATCGTGCGATTTCCTATACTAATTTGTACTAATTACTCTTTATTACCTGGTCCACTCTAAGAACAGTAACAGCAGCATTCGTAGACAACTTGATGGCCCAGTATTTGACAAGATATGAGTCCAGAATACCAGCCTCTGCTGCATCTTTGATCTCAGCACCCAGGGCCTAGAACAAGTAAGGGATGAACACATCAGCAGTAATTGCAGAATCCATCCTATCATCATGAAACATGATCATCGTCACCACCATAAACATACCAGCCTCAGTATCATCACCATTATCACCACCACCATCATCATCAACATATCAGGTCACATATTAGCATCAAACAACTCCACTCGCTTCATTATCACCACTACAATCATCATCCCCATCATCATCATCACCATCATCATTATCAACATATCAGCATCGGATAACCATTCTCACTTCATTATCACCATCATCAACATGTTAATATCAGTATCATCATCAACATATTCTTCAACATACCATCATCATTGTCAACATAACATCAAACAACCCCACTTACTTTATCATCACCACTACCACCATCATCAACATACCAGCATCAAACAACCCCACTCACCTCATTATCAAAGCCAGCATTCTTCTTTCCTTCCTGGTGAGCCGCATACAGTTTAGAGATGACTTCAGTGGCATTAACCCCAGCATTAGAAGCAAGAGCACGAGGAATAGCTTCCAGAGACTCGGCAAATTTACCAATAGCATACTGCTCTAGACCTGCACATGTCTGTGGATTCAAGTCAGATAATAATTTATTACCAATAATTAATACTAATAAAACTAAAGCAGAGTCTAATTTATTCTCTCTCTCAAAAAATGATGGAAGAAATGTACAGACTGTTGTCAAAGAACTGTAATGTAATCAATGTACCTCGCCATATCTGGCAATCTGATTGGCTAACTCAATTTCTGTTGCACCAGCTCCTGGTAAAAACCTTCCATCTCTCGTCAATGCTTTGTAGTTGTTGACACCATCGTCAACAGCTCGCTCAATGTCATCCATGATATTCCCAGTAGAACCTCTAACTACTATCGTAGAGACAGCAGATTCTTCTCGTTCTGAATATTACAAAATTAGGAATATTTTGTAACTGAATCAAGCTTAGGCAATTAGAAAGAAAATAACAGAAACTGCAACAAGATGCCCAAAGTAGCTGTTGTATTACCGCAGTTTTCAACATTCTGAAAACTTGGTAGTTGAGAGCTGATGCATAAACTGGTCAAACAAGAATAATAGAGACCTTCAGATCCGACAACGAGTATGAGAACAAGTTTTTTAAAACTTTTAAAGATTGGCACATCATTTCTCAGTCGTGGTTGTATACATAGATTGAAACCTAAGATTCTAAATTAATAGGAAAATGACTACAATTCAGTGTCTGCAATCACGTGCAAAGGACCAATTTTAAAACTCATAATCGTCGTTGGATCTTAAGGTCTCTAATATCTCTGCCGCAGCAACATACCTTGTTTGAATACAATGACAGGAGTATCGCCAATCTCAGCCACACGGACATTATCACAGTGACCCAGTTCCTCAGCATTGGGGGTCGTCTGTCACACAACAACAAAGTTAATAATAATAATAATAATAATAATAATATATTCACTTATAATGCGCTTTTTACATAAAATGATCAAAAGCGCATAACATGATAATTGAATATAGAATAATAAAATATATACAATATTGAGTCATACCAATGTCATGTACACTATTATAAAACTCATGAATAATTGATGAGGAAAACACAATAGAAATCATTGTCCATGGTGGAGGTTGTATATCTGATACAAAATCGTCCTGATTTGCATAAACTTTAACTCCAATTTTCTTAGCCAAATTTAATTTTATCTTAAAAATTATAGTAGAACATGAATGTATACACCTAGACGTTTCATAAATAATATGCAATATTCATGTCCGTGTTGCATCAGATATACAATCACTCGCCTTTGGCTCATGGTTGTATATCTTGTATATCATATTGTATATATTATGAAAAATATACTATATGAAAGAAAATAATACTAATAATAAACGTGATAATAATAAAAGAGAGAAATAAATAATACTATACTAATGACTATAAAATTTTCTAAAAACTTAAATTTACTAACGTAAAAAGATAAGTTTTAAGGCACGATTTAAAAGTCTCAAGGGATGAAACATTGCAGAGTTCCATAATTTTGGTGCCACCATGCTGAAAGAACGATCACCAAAAGTGTGCAGCATTTAGTTAATAAAGAATCTTAATTCAATATCTATTAATTTGCAAGCTGGTAATTTTTGAATGATGAAATACTTACAATTTTTGGCAGTGGTGTGGCTCCAATGGCCCGACAGAGCCGACGAATGTCAAACTTTGACTGCAGCCTGACAACCATCAGTTTGTACTTGTTACAGAAATGAATAGCTAAGTCRGCAACTTTACCACCTGTCACTATCACTTTGACTCCAGCATCAACTATTTCTTTTATTTGCTGTTGTTGGATCAAAAACATCATTGTTATCAGCAGTAACAACTACCATCCATTTCCATCATCATCACCAACAAAAATCACCATTATCAACTATCCATCATTATCATCATCATCGCTATCTCCATCAGTATCTTCACCACTATCAGAAACATTATCACCATCATCACCAACATTATCATCAACACCATTATCATCACCATCATTGACTATAATCATCAACAGTAGCAGCAGCAAATACATAATCATTATCACCACAACACCAACACTGTGTCATCATCATCATCATCATCACCACAACACCAACACTGTGTCATCATCATCATCATCATCACCACAACACCAACACTGTGTCATCATCATCATCACCATCACCACAACACCAACACTGTGTCATCATCACCATCACCATCACCACAACACCAACACTGGGTCATCATCATCATCATCACCACAACACCAACACTGTGTCATCATCACCATCACCACAACACCAATACTGTGTCATCATCATCATCATCACCACAACACCAACACTGTGTCATCATCACCATCACCATCACCACAACACCAACACTGTG